CGTACTGCCATGGGTACTTCCAGGATGTGGTTCACAATGGAGAGCTTCGAGACTTTTTTTTATTTTTTTTTTTATTTTTTTTTTTTTTTTTTTTTCTTTTCTTTGTGGACGGGTCAGAGCAGAGGATTCAAGTGCCGCCACACAAGACGATCAAGGATCTTGTTTATTCTGGCAAGAAATCAATGTATTCTTTGGCAGTGTTGGTCATTTGCGATATACGTGGCAAGATCGTGTATGTAGGTAAGACAGAGGGAGGCGCCCAGCCTGACGTCTCGCTCTACAAGGATGCTGCACCTAGACTACAGGCTCTGTTCGATGAAGATATTGTCATTCTCGGTGACAAAGGATTCAAAGGAGGTCAGAAGTACTACACCAACACCATCACCCCCAAGATCAAGTCGGCTTCATTGATCGATCATATGGAGTACACAGACAAGATGATCAGAAAACGCACGCTCGATGAGCATCGCCTGCGTCAAGGAAAGGAGGCGACCAAGGTATCTAAGAAGTTGAAGGCATTGGAAGCCAAGGTCACCAAAGAAGGATTCGATGCCGAGCGTATCCTGAGAGAGAAAGATGAGAGCAATCGAATCAAGAAGGTGAGGATCATCATTGAGAATGTCTTTGGAGAGATGAAGAAATGGAACATATTGTCAGACACAATCAGATCACTTGGCGACCTTTCTGACAACATTCAACGACACAACGCACTCTGGACAATTATCGCATATTTGACCAATATGTTCCACTCCTTTGGACGAGACGACGATTTCTTTAAGGTCTAATTTATCATACAACAACAACAACAACCACAACAACAACTACAACAACAACAATAAAAATATAAATATTTAATTAACATCAGATAAGGTTTGAAAGGGTTCCCCTTGCTGTTCCAAGGGTTGTCCAGGGTCGAACCAGCTCGAACCCAAGGATTGAGACCGCTGAAAAATGAATTCTCTGCGTAACCTTGACTATCCCCTGCAGAACCTTAGCAGCAACCAACTCATCGGGCTTAAATAATGAATTCAAGAATATCATCACGAGGTCCATCTTTTTGGAGTGCAATCAATTCATGTCTACTCAGGCGATTGATCATAGCTTCCGTCTAACCGATTCCCATTCCTACTGCACACACATTCCAAATAATACTATCAATCAGATATATTGTATAAATGGAAAGATGCCATCTGACACATCTCTAAATCCAGGGTTTAGAGATGTGGAGTTATATGATTTGTCGAAAGGAGAGTGGCGCCCAATCGTGCAAACACATATCGAACGACCTCACCTATCTTCATCAGTGGTGTCAACTGGAGCATATATATATATCTTTTGTGGCAACCACCGCGACAGCTCATACGAACGCTATAGCATCCAGAGTGGTACATGGGAACTCTATGCCGGATTCAAGCAAGGATTTACAAGCGTGGCATGTTGCTTCGACGGTAAAAGATACATCTATCTGCTTGGAGGAACCAGAATCATCCAGCTTGACGTTCACGATGGTCGTTATATAGATATTGGCACATTCCAAGGAGGCAGAGGCAATATCTATTGCTTCCACAAAGATGGCACGATCTACATTGTTGGCGGAGGTGAGAACCTCATTGAGGCATTCAGTGTCAAGCATAAGGACACCAAGATCGTCTACAATTTCCCTGCGAACATAGGATTTAAACTTGAAGCCTGCTGCTTCGACAACTTTGAATTCATCTACATAATCACAGAGTCGTTCTTCTATCGCATATCCATCTTTAGGTGGAAATTGACGTGAATCCCATCACCTAATCTAAATCATGGTTGCAAAGGGATTTCGATGGTGTTTGGATATCACGAAGGATTCAAGATATGGCTCATTGGAGGACATGAAAAAGTTCAATATGTGTTCCACTTTGACAATAGTGATCAAATAGAGTGGAAAAGTTTGCGCATATGGAGAGGAGAGTGGAAGGAGTTCCCTATGAAGTCCCAGTACACTATCTATCATGGTGCTGTTGGAATCAACAGTCCCAATCATCAATAAAATGACATCACAAGATCATTCATCCAAACAACCAATCAACGAAGCATATAATATCACATTGTTTGAACTTCTGGTGCCTATTGAATGAATAGTGCCTGTTGACTGACGAGTGCCTGTTGAACTACTGATACATGTTCACAATAAAGATTGGTGTTTATTAAAAGGTTTTGGCGACCATTAATTAACATGATAGGAAAAGGTATGAGTATCACTTTGGACCAAAGTGATTGAAGACTATATATATAATTTCAAGAATTACTAACTGTTTAATTTTGTTGGCCTCAGTGCTGACATGGAGAAACTATATCATCAGCTACAACGAGCAGTTCAGAGAATACCTTACCTATGTGCCCCCATCTTCCCTGCTCGACTACTTGCTTGACAGAGACTCACTTCCAGAACGAACAACAATCAGTGATTTGCTTGGACTCTGCCTACTATACCTAGAAAGAGTGATATCCATTGTCCTGGCATTCTATTGTCTACTCTTCTGTTATCGACTTAGTATCAAGATCTCAAATACACTGACAATCGGTTGGCCAGCCAACTCTGCGAACCAAAGGGAGCTGGCACCATTGCTTACACACCGTATCAACATATCCTATCAGAGGAAGGAATTAAGACTCGCTCACTTGCTCCTGGCTGGATGTCAACTGATCTACTGTCTCACTGCTGTACTTACTGATGGTGGTGTGCTCTGTGGTATACCAAATCATCCAATGTTCATCTATCACTGCTACCATGGAACCGAATACTTCTTCCTCAATACCTTCCCCTACCAACTACTTGTTCTCAACGAGTTGTTCTACTACTCCAACCGCCAAGCCGGAGATCGGAACAGTCATATTCAAACTGAAATAAAATCAAAGTGATCAAAAGTGATCACGTGATCATCAATCACTCATTCATTCACACACCCATCAATCAATCATTTATATAGATATATAACATGGATACATTACCAAGCATTGTTATAACAACAATAGCTAGTCATTTGAATAATGAACTTGACTTGTTCTGTCTTGGCTTGGTGGCCAAACGATACTTTGTCATCTATGACAAGTTGACAATGGTACCAAGGTTGTCTACAACCAAGCAACAACAAGGAGATGAAGATGATGCACCACCTACAAGGATGACAGCAAACCCCATCAACCCTGGTTCAATCCCAGCATCAGTCACAGATCTCACATTCACAGACACATTCAATGATACGATACACTTGGATTGCATGCCTCCATCACTCAAACGATTGAAGATAGGTCGGTTGTATAACAGACCAATACCACCTGGTGCCCTGCCCGCCTCACTCCTATTCTTTAGTATGAGTCAGGGATTCAACATGCCAATCGAAGCCGGGGCACTCCCACCTGCGCTGACCACCCTCCAACTTGGCGCCACATTCAATCAACCTCTTGGAGTCAATGTCCTCCCGGCCTCACTCCGATCACTAAGCCTTGGTGAAGAGTTTAATCAGCCCATTCAACATGATGTGTTGCCACCAAGTCTCACCAGTCTGGACCTCAGCGAGAAGTTCAATCACCCAATCGTGCCTGGACTGCTGCCCGCATCACTCATGATCCTTGTATTTGGAGGCCGATTCAATCAGACCTTGGTCCCTGGCGCCCTCCCCCAATCACTGACCAGCGTATACTTTGGAAGCCGATTCGATCAGGTACTCTATCCTGGCGTGCTCCCGCCGTCACTCATTCAATGCAGCTTCGCTTTTGATCACATGAAACAGTTGTTTCCGGGCTCGCTACCAGCGTCCCTTCGCTCACTCACTCTTGGCTACAGCTTTAACTTGACCCTGGACCCAGGCATCCTGCCCAGCTCACTCACACAGCTGGTCACAGGCTTCAGGTTCAACGCGGCCTTTGAGCCAGGCTCGCTCCCCTCAACACTGGCCACGCTCACTTTGAACCACTCGTTCGTTCAACGTCTTGTCCCTGGAGTGCTACCGTCCTCTCTCACAAGTCTGTCGTTGGCAGGCCAGTACAATCATCCGTTTGATCTTGGAGTGTTGCCACAAGGACTGCAATTCCTCGAGCTGGGAGAGTTCAACCAGCCCTTGCAACCGGGCGAGCTACCATCATCACTGGACACACTGTTGTTTGGAAGCGAGTTTGATCAAGCGTTGCCCAAGGGCGTGTTGCCAGTGCGACTCTTTGAGCTGCGCTTAGGAAGATACTTCCAGCAGACACCCGACAAGGTCGTGTTCCCAAGCACGCTCAACACACTCAGGATCATGGATCTTCGGCGCCAAGGACAATATGTGAACCTGCTCTCAATGGAATCATTCCAACGATTGATCGTCACAACTATAATTGAACAAGAGTATACTGATGATGGACCTATAACATTATTATCCAATGCCAGGATACCAATGTTGTGTGCAGAGATGTATGGTGCACAGGCAGTATTTGACAAACTACAACGTGCAATCTATAGTCAATTGCCCAATGTTGCCACATACAACTTCCGCCAGTATTATGTACGTCGTCCTCGCATCCACTACCTCATTCGATTCATCAACCCTGGTGAGATGCTCATCGCATTATACAACGATATGACATTAGACAATCCATCACCTATCTCACACTGTCAATTCAGACGATTATAAGATGAATGAATGAATGGATGTCACCCATCACCCATCACTCGAGGCTCTGATGTCGTGTGTGGTGGGTGATTTCCAGCTTGACTGGAAACCCCTGGACCTGGAATGACCGATCACCCAGCAGTACCATCGCTTCCGCACACTCATGGTCAATGTATCCCTTCAAAGTCATCAAGAATACCCTTGGATACACTCACTAAGATGTTGCCTCCACCATCAATCAATCAATCAATCAGACCTGTCAACGCATTAAGTGAAGCGAAGTGATGGATGAGGCAGAGTCGACTCACTATATTAAGACACTCAAATGTAACATCATTATCCACTTACTCCATTTATCTCTTTACAACTCTTCATCTCTATCTCTATCTATCTCTTACTATCTCCATCACTAATATAACTATGTTTTTAAAGATCGCATTAACATTATGTTTGATCTCAATCATCTTGAATGGATCAACACTGGCTATATGTATAAACAAATGTTTGAACATTGGTGATAAGTGTTCGCTGGCTGATGCTTCATGTCCGGATAATGCCTACTGCAATCCTACTTCCAGTGTTTGTGTACTCAAGGTGGCACCAGGTGGCCCATGCACCTTCATCACACCCTGCCTCAACTCCTACCAGTGTATCAACAGCACTTGCCAAGCAGCCGCGTACTTGGGCGTGGACGAGGTCTGTGAGACCACCCTCCAATGCAACTCTGGCCTAGAGTGTCGCGCCAACATCTGTACCAACGCCAACTACCCATCCTGCTCGTCCAGCTTTGTATGCCGCCACAACGAGACCTGCCAGAGCAACAACTGTGTGTTGGCCGTGAGCAACACCAAGCAGTGCACGACCTCGGACCAGTGTAGAATGTTCTCAACCTGCTCCAAGCCCAGTGTTGACGCTTCCGGTCGCTGCTCCGTGCCATACGGAGTGCAAAAGGGAGGCAGTTGCTCGATGGACAACACATACGGATGTGATGTTTCGGCCAACCTGACCTGCGCGCTCAACAACACTTGTGTGGAGTTTGCCCTTGAGATATGCACCCGAGTCAACTCGTCGGCCGTCAAGACCAGTCTGTCCAATCTCCAGCAGTGCCAGATAGACTTCCAATGTCCAGCTGTGAGCAATCCTGCTGTGCCCAAGTCATGCTTCATGAGACAATGTCCAGAGGTGATTCGTAACCTTACCATAGCATCTGGTGGATGTCCATCCAATGATACCATCTCGACCAATACAACGACCACCACTACAACCGGTACAGTTGCCACAACATCCACCACCTCATCATCGACCACAACTGCAACATCCACTGATCCTCCCAAGAATGAGTGTGGCCAACTCGTTATGATGGATTTCAACCTCATTATCATGGTGTTACTCGCATTCATCTTTGGTCTTCCAAGCAACTAAGTACCTGTCTCTGTCCATGTCTATGTTGACTTGATTGACGAGTGAATGATGCATTTGATCAACAATCATACACCTAATCAATTGTTGTAAAAGCTACAGTCATCAATGAATGTACCGATTTGTTCTATGTTTGTAAATAAAGTAATAACTTGGGGTGTTATCTGATTGATCTTAAGTGTAATATATGATTCCTGATAATCAAAGATGCGACCCTTTGTCAATGAGTCATCTGGTGGTTCGTGTTTTGATCATTCGTCAAAGGATCTCTGTGTGGGTGGGTGGGGTTATTGATTGATTTGATGTCTCTTGTTGGGGTGTGTTCCTTGATCCAAAACAAGGACAAGTCATATCTTGAAATAACCCGATTGATCATTGCTGGTGGTTTATGATCTAACCCCTTGATGAATCATGATTCTTCAATATGACCTTCACTCGTTTAATATAAACTATTTCCATTTTTGATTATAAATACCTTCAACAAACCGTCCTTCAATTTACAAACATCCAACAATCAATCCAAGCAAACATAATCTTTCAAACATACTCAATCAATCATTCAATTATTCAATCAAATATTAAATAATTAATTAATAATGTCCAAGCCAATCGTAGTTGTATCACAGGCCTTTAGCAAACAAGGCACAAGCATTTTGAACACTTTGTTGGAGAGCAATAAGTATCATGTTAGAGCTTTGACCTCAAGACCATTGGACTCGGCCCAAGCACAAGGATGGAAACAACGTGGAGTTGAACTGATTCAAGCAGACTTTTTGAATGCTGATGATTTGTTGAAGGCTTACAATGGTGCACATGCAGCATTCATCGTTCGTCCACTCATCAGTCCAGTCGATCCAGATGCCAACAACAAGGAGTTCAACTCTGTCAAGACCCAAGCCGATGCCGCTGTCCAGGCCGGCCTCCAGCAGATCATCTACTCATCCACCGACTCGCCCGTCGCCCCCAAGGTTCAGGAATACATCGATGCCCTCCCCATCCCCTTTGTCAACACATTCTACCTCTCATTCTTCTTCTCCAACCTAATTGAGTTCAGCAGACCCGTGCCCCAGGAAGACGGATCAATGTTGTTCGCACAGCCATTCCCCGCTGACAAGGCCATCCCCTACGTCAACCCATACACCATCACTGGCAAGGTCGTCGAGAGATTCTTGGCCGAGCCAACTCGTTACAATCGTCAGTCTGTTCCTGTTGTCTCGGAGTTCATCACTGGTGCGCAGGTGGCCGAGACATTTGAGCGCGTCACTGGTATCAAGGCAGCGTACAAGTATCAATCACGCGAGGACTATATCAACAGTGGATTCAGTCTTAACGATATGACCAAATACGTTGGCAATGTAATCTATGACGTCTGGACCAATGGTGTCAACAATCCACGCGCTGCCAAGGATGCCACCACTGAGTTTGCCACATCGCTCAATGCCCCAACCGGAACATGGGAGCAATTCCTGCAAGCCACTGCATGGAAAGGTGAGCCATACCAAGACATCAGGGAGAGACTCCTGAATCTCTAATCACTGAGTGGTCCATAAATCCAATCAATCTGTCGACAATCAATCAATATGTGCAAATAAACTAAGCAATATCTTTATGTACATTTTGAGATCGAGCATCGCGTTCGCTGTCGCCCTGCCGTCGTCGCCGCTACTTAAGTACCTATTCCTCATCGACAAACTCATAGTATAACTTCTCCTTCCTAAGTCTGAATGTTAATCTGTTGTATTGGGTGGAGGTAAGGATGGTTAGTGTCGAGCTCAAGGTGATGCCATCCATGTCACTGTGTTGTCAAAGTCACATACCCTATGCAAACAAAGATTGTAAGATCGATCAGGAGGTCCAGGAAGGTCCACAGCCATACAAAGTATATCGCTGCCTTTAAGAACTCGATAACAATCTCGGATACCAAGTAGCCAAGCATAATCCATTTGAATGCGCTGGAGGGGAGAAGGAGGGGAAGGAGGTCAATATGAGAGTGAATGGATTGGTATAAAGGGGACATAACATACGTGAACATTCGCAGCTTCTTCTCGAGTTGGGATAGCTTGAGTGCCTTGTCCTTGTCCCTGGCTTGCTCAACAGAGTTGGGCTGGACAGAGTTGTCCGCTGATTGAGGTGGTGGCAATGGTGCCTGATGTTGTTGCTCATTCTCCTCAATTGAGAATGCACCATTTGGTGCATGTTGCTGTTGTTGTTGCTGTTGATCGATTGGTTGCATTTGACTTGATGTTTGAGCATCAAGTAGTGTAGCCCTTATAATCCTAATGTTCTGATCAGACTTGATAAAGATAATGATCAATATTGGAATATAAATGATATACTGGAGGAACTATTTTGTTTGATTGATTGGATGATGGGGAATAGTTCCATTTGAGTTGGAGTCAGTAAGATGATTGATTGATCGGATTGATCGATTGAATGGGGGATACTTACAGCAAAGAATCGTCCAAATATTGCGCCCAATACGATGGCAATGACAAGTAGGAGGACAATGACGCAGAGTGACTTGTAGAGATTGTTGTAACGACCTGGTAGTATACCCCATCCAGTGGCAATGGTAAGTAATACAACAACAGCCACTATTCTAAAGATAATGTAAAAGAGCCAGAAGAACACGTAGACTCCCAGTCCAACTGCACCATAGTTCTGCAAGTAGAAATAGAATCCACAGAAGTATGTTACCATTGCCAACTTTGAGAATGGGAACAATGTTATCAGCTTATGTAGTCTGACGTTTTGCTGTTGTTGTCATTGTTGATGTTAGTTCATATTGTCCGCGGCTGTACGTCTGATCAACATCGTCATCATACCTTTCTGTTCATTACCCAGTTGACACACCAGAGCAATGTCAACACCAACCATATGATCGCGAATATGAGGAAGGTGATGGGGAATGCCAAGTATTCATATGAGAGTTCTTTGCCATCCGGTTGATAAAATGCATATGATACCTATCATGTTTGATTGAATGAGTGAGGCATTGAGTCAGTGAATGAATGAATGAGTGATGGTGATGAGCATCAACAACACAACATACAGTGTATCGTAGAGTGCTGTTTGCGCATTGACCTAGTATAAAGTAATAATAATCATCTGTTGCTATTGAACCTTGAACTGATCCAGTGTATTGATCAATTGAGTAGTTCTGTTGACACATAACATACTGTTCAATATTATGACAATATGAATCATCGTCCAAGTTATTATACTCATCCCATGTGCAAACCAACAATAATGTTCCATTGCTAACCTCATTGTCCTTTCATAGTGATGATGAATGAATGAATGTTAGTATGTTGCTGTTGTTGTTCGTGCGATGACAATGATACCTACATGTAGTTGATAGTTAAAGTCAAAGTAACCATTCTTTTGGAAACCAAACATTGCAAGACCTGCTAGACCATCTGACATGGTGACGACATAAGGTGCTTGATATGTTGCATCAGTTGGTGTTGTTGCTATTGACAACAGTGTTACCAACACCAATCCCAAGCACAACAATATATGTTGTTGTTGTTGTTGTCTAAAATACATGTTGTTATTGTTCTTCTTTCTAATCAATCTATTATTATTATTATTACAATGAAGTAAATATATATTTATAAGTATAGTACTACAAGTTAGTTGTTGATGTTGTTGATTGGTATGATTATGACTATCACCTAACTCTTTCGTTCATGCTTTGAAAGAAGTAGGAAGGTATGAAGGTAGGCAAATAAATAAGTAAAGTAAGTTGGTGCAACCTCAACTAAACCAACCTCCCATTCATTCATCCATCAATTCAATCCATCTATCGACAACATCACCAACCCCCACCTTATCCTTTCATATCATATTCGACCCCCCATACGTTGTGAGCAATGTAAAAGTAGTTAGTTTGGGTGTGAATGAACGAAGGGTGATGAGGTCAACATCGATGGTTTTTCACTGAATGCCAGGGTCGCACACTGTTGCCGAGTCCGACTACTATTTATAACTTGATGATTATTATTATTTGTATCAAATTGATTATATGTTACAAATCAATCAATCAATCAATCAATATCTATTAAAGAATTAATCAATCAACCAATCAATCAATATAACTTTGTTCATCTTACACAATAACTTGGATTGAATCCCCATGAACGATTATAAAAAACATCTGGGATGATTTTTGCCAGCTCACAACACATATCTCATCGACTCTAAAAAACCAACCGATCACTCTTTAATAAATTAATTATAATTAAAAATAAATGATCACACGCGTTTTTAAAACATCACACAGATAATAATATCGACCTTTTGGCTTTGGGTTACGTGCAGTGTTTGTATGTGTGTGTGTCTGCGTCGATCAGGATCTTGTTTGTTGTGAGCGTCGTTGAAGGCAAAGAATTCCCGTTTGGCTCACCTTTGGTTTAGTTAGTTAGACTGGTCCAAGTTGTCCATTCGATCAAAGACATTTACGTCAAACATTCACACACACATATATATATCAATCAATCAATCACACCCTTTCATTCATTCACACACATAATCAATCAATCACAAACGAACAGACGTCCACACTCACACATACGCACACACACACACACACACACACTCATAAAAGACGATCAATATTACATTCTAAATGGATAGGTGCCAACTATAACACGATCAAACAAGACATTAGATTGTAAGTCGGACAACCTCTCTGGAAGGTCCTGTCAAAGGACCCTTGGACCACCATGGACTAACATCAACGTTCACGCATACTCAAACGTCACAGTCGCCAATCGAACCAACAACATTGTATTATTTATTTGAAACAAACATAGATATATAAGAGAGAGACAAGATGAAGAATATATTGAAAAAGGCAAAGGATGCCTATAAGAGTCACTTCTTCTTGACACAGGGTGTTCAGCCATCTGATGAGGACAATGCAGATCAGATAATAACAGATATCAACCCTATTGAGGAACCTGGTCCGCAGGGTTTCCTGGCCTTTTGCGATGATCCAGACTTGATAGAACAGCTGAACAATCCAAACAACAACAATCCAAACAACAGTCATAGTAGTAGCAGCAGTGTTAGTACTGCCGCCAGCCACACACAACATGCCACCACAAACACTGGATTGACAACAAGTAGCAAGAGCCCAGAGACCACGCCAACAAAGAGAACTGCTTCGACAAAACTCAAACCAGCGATACAGGGCCTGCTAAACTTGGTGTCATCATCAGGACGCAAGGACTCGACTGTGGTCAACACGACGGGCGTCAACAACAATGACAAGCGCTCGACACAGGCAGCAGCGGGCAACTCACAACAGCAGCCAAACAAGGTGGAGAACTCGGAGAAGAAGGAGGAGGGCGGCGTGGAGCGCGCGCCAGAACGCGAGATTTTATATATCAAGGGCCTGGAGGACCTGCCCGACGACTGCCTCAAGCTGATCAAGATGTCGGGCCTGCCCGAGGAAAAGCTGCGAAACAATCTGCAGGTGCTGCTGTACGTGCTGCACTTTAGGACGGGCAAGATAATCAGGATCGAGGGCGAGCCGCCCAAGGAGCCGCGCAAGAAGTTCTCGTCGGAACGCTTCAACGACGGCGACACGCTGCTGGCGCCCGTCGAGCATGCCCAGCTCAAGAAGCTGTACAAGGACCCGGACCAGATCGGCAAGGGCGGTTTTGGCACGGTGTACTTTGCACGTTCCACCAAGGAGAAGAAGATGGTGGCGATCAAGAAGATGCCGCACGTCACCAAGCGACAGATCACACAGAACTTCCGCGAGGCATCCATTCTGTCCAAGTGCAATCATCCCAATATCGTCAAGCTGATCACGTGTCATCTGGACAAGGATCAAAACATGTGGCTGATCATGGAGTTTATGGAGGGTGGCACGTTTGAGGAGGCTGCCAAGGCATGGAAATTCAACGAAAACAACCTGGCCTACGTTGCCAAAGAGTTGCTCAAAGGTCTACACTATCTACACACCAATGGCATGGTACATCGCGACCTCAAGAGTGCAAACATCATGATGTCCGTCGAGGGCAAAGTTAAATTGAGTAAGTTTGTCAATGGTCCGCGAGTCCCCAGACCCACATTGGGATCATTCCATCACTCACTCAATCACAATCAAACAATCAAACTATTATAGTTGACTTTGGATTATGCGAGGATGTGTCAAGCGGAAGCCCTTGCCACATGGTTGGCTCACCATTTTGGATGGCGCCAGAGATGATATTGGGCAAGCCGCATAGTACACCGGTGGACATTTGGAGTTTTGCGATATCATTGCTGGAGATGGCCAATCAACGACCTCCAATGATGGAGTCAGCCGTCAAGGCCATGTTCACAGTGGCGACAGAGGGCGCGGCGGGATTCGATGAGCCACACATCTGGTCCGACACATTCAAGGACTTTTTGGCGCAGTGTCTGAGACCTGATCCGGAGGAGCGCGCCACCGCCGATCAGCTGCTGAAACATCAGTTCATCCGCAAGGCTGACACCAGAGACAACATGGAGAACATCCTCAAGAAGATCTTCCTCACCAATTCACTGATGAACTCTGGATTCTAAGATATGTCCAGGCAACATCCTTCATTCATTCATACACTCATACATCAATCAATCATACAACCAAGCGCAGCCATCCATCCATCCATCCATCCTTTCAATCACAGTCAACCAATCAATCAACTCAATCAACCCTAACATGGAACCATTCCAGATGGAGTGGCAAGCTTGTCTTTTGAGCAAAGACGTCCAGGCCTAGACTCCCTCCCTCACCCAGTCCTGCAATATTGGAGTCTTGGTCGCATGCGACTGTCCACAACCAACCTCATACAAGGACAGTGCGGGGTGGTCCGCATGCGTCCGTCATCACCCAGAATTGACGACTAGTGGTCCTTGGATGACCAAGTCAAAAGGTGTGGCGCAATCAATCAATCAATCATCCAATCATCCATACTTGTAACAACATWACATCCAACCATCCCATCCATCATACCATCCATCCATCCCATCTATTATATTATATTATCTTTTTTGTCCAACCTCTTGACCAAGAACATGTGCGTCGCATTGCACTTGTAGCGACTTGCAACGCCACAAAGATAGCAATAAAGAGCGGAAGCCACCACCGCAGTAGTGACGACACTACCAACGTGAACATCAACCAAATGATCCTTTTTATGCTACTCCAGATAAAGAGCGCTCTATCTCTATCTGTTTATTCATGAATCGCGTCGATATGATCTACTCAATAACGATCTTTCTATGAGCGTATAATGAGTTGATTGTAGTCTGTCTCTTTAGCATCTCGAAATCATTCATTGATTGAGTGATGAGTGATTGGGTCTGATCTGGTGTAGCGTTCTTGTTCTCTCTGAATCCTCCTGCTATCCTACGCTTGGAGTACTCTCTAAAGTTGTAACTTGAGAACTTATTAGCCTCTCTACACATATTCCTATAAAGCTGCAATATCATCTGTCTCTGTGTAGTCATCTTATATCTATCAATGTACAATGTATCTATCTAGATTAATGTATGAGCTGGATTGATTGATTGATTGTTAGACCATCCATTCGTCAATGTATACATCACTTGTTAGATTGATTAGGGTAAGTACTTACAATGATGTGTATTTGTGTATATATATATATCAATTGCACGATGTCGATGTACAATACAATAATGCTAACTATCTCACTTGTGTATGATATGATTGGTTGCTAATGCTATCTATTATCTTGGTCCTCTAACCTTATGACGAGTCTTCACGTGTCATTCAAGTTGGATTCATCTCGAGAAGAAAGTGTGGCAACGAAAAGGGAAAAAGAATCTGTTTTGGACATGATCAAGAGCCCTCCTTTTGTTGTTGGATTGAGAGTACATCGAAGTGAGGCTCAACAACAGACACGTCATTTTAGATAAAACAAAGAAAGATACAAGTACATTGATAACTCGTGTGTTGATTATACCAATGGTAATACATTGACATTAATTGATTGGACGATGACCAGGGATAACAATGAGTCATTTTGTTAATATTTCAGCTTTTTTATCACTTTGTTCCCAATTCAAACACACAAACAACTCGAGAGTGTGGGTTGCTGAAGTGCACTCTCAGCTCAAGTTGCATTCTCAGTTTACTTGCTTGATCAACTCAAAAGTTATATTATAAATACAGGTACTACTTGTTTGTTTTGTTGTATCAATAACACAATAACATAAACATTATATATATTAGTCAATGTCAGAAACAGGACAACAAAACGCTGCTGCTGCCGCTGCCGCCGCTGCTGGTGAGGAGAAGAGCAAAAAGTACAGATCATTCAATCAATCAATCAATCAATCAATCAATCAATCAATCGATCGAAACATTCAATCAAACGAACAATGAATATGATGAATCTAACATGTCACCAATTACATCATCAATCAATCAATCAAATTACAACAATGACAGGGCATTGAACAGAGAACTAAAGAAACAACAAAAGGAAGAGAAGAAGAAGGCTTTCAAGCAACCAGGAGATGGTCAACAGAAGCCACAACAACCAAAGGAGGAGATTGTTACAAGTGGTGAGAACTTTGGAAAGCTCACTTTGAATCAATCACAGGAACGCCCAGGTCGCACATTCACTCGTGTAGCCGACCTCAACCCCTCGCTCGAGGGCCAAGAGGTGCTGCTGTTTGCCCGTGTGCACGTGTCGAGAGCCCAGGGCAACAAGCTGGTGTTCATCTCGCTGCGCGACGCCCTGTCCACCGTGCAGGCCGTTCTGCTCATGTCGGACTTCATCACCAAGTCGATGCTCAAGTTTGCCGCAGGCATCACCAAGGAGTCGATCGTCGAGGTCAAGGGCAAGGTCGTCAAGACCACCGCACCAATCGAGTCGTGCACTCAGAAGGACGTCGAGATTGCCGTGCTCAGCCTGTTCATCGTGTCTGAGGCCCTGCACCTGCCACTGCAGATTGAGGACTTGGCCCGTCCCACCGAGGTGTTTGAGCGTCAGCGTCAGGACGTCGCTGCCATCGAGCAGAAGCTCCAGGACCTCTCACTGTCTGAGGAGGTCAAGAAGGGCCTCGAGGAGGACAAGTCCAAGGCCAACAAGTTTGCTGAGGTCCTGCAGGACACCAGACTGAACAACCGTGTGCTCGACCTTCGTGTGCCTGCCAACCAGGCCATCTTCAAGCTGCAGTCGGCCGTCGGCATGCTCTTCAGAGAGTACCTGCTCAACAAAAACTTCATCGAGATCCACTCGCCAAAGATGATCTCGTCGGCCAGTGAGTCGGGCGCATCAGTCTTCAAGCTGGGCTACTTTGACACTCACGCCTACCTTGCCCAATCGCCACAGTTCTACAAGCAGATGGCCATCTGTGCGGATATGGAGCGCGTCTTTGAGATCGGACCAGTGTTCCGTGCCGAGAACTCGCTCACTCATCGTCACTTGACTGAGTTTGTTGGACTCGATATTGAGATGGCGTTCCGCGAGCACTACCACGAGGTGTTGGACGAGCTCGACAACCTGATGACCTCGATCTTTGAGGGACTCGAGAAGCGCTTCGCCAAGGAGATCGAGTCGGTTAAGGCTCAGTACGGATTCGAGCCATTCAAGTACACGCGCCCATCGCCCCGCTTCACCTTTGACCAGGCTGCAGCGATGCTCAAGGCCATCGGTGAGGAGGTCGTCGACAACGACATCAGCACCGCCCAGGAAAAGAAGCTGGGCAAGATCATCAAGGAGTCGCACGGCGTCGACTTTTACATCATCGACAAGTTCTACGCCACCGCCCGTCCATTCTACACGATGCGCGACCCCGCCAACCCTCTGCTGGCCAACGCCTACGATCTCTTCATGAGAGGTGAGGAGATCTGCTCGGGCGCACAGCGTATCCACGACGCCAAGATGCTCGAGGAGAATGCCATCAGCCACGGAATCAACGTGGCCTCCATCCAGGACTACATCGACGCTTTCAAGTATGGCGCGTCGCCTCACGCTGGTGGTGGTGTCGGTCTCGAGAGAGTTGTCATGCTGTACCTCGGCATTGGCAACATCCGCAAGACCTCCATGTTCCCACGTGACCCCAAGAGACTCACTCCATAAACCCCAACCTCCATCCTTCCTTCCCTCGCGAATCGCTTGCTCGCCACTTGTGTTTTGTAGCAGCGTTCCATAGCTTCCTGGATGGAGTACCTTCTAGGAATGAATGAATTCAACTTGACCTGTCTTCCCTTTCGAATTCTTTATTTACATGAATGGTCGTCTAGGCCAACAAGTTGTCGTTGGCCTTTTAAAAGTTGTGCTGTTGACCTTAATCATACAACACAAGTGTGATTGATTGATTGATAGATTGGAATGGTTCCATCCAGTAGTGGATCACTTTGGTGTGTATATCTTTGATGCATTGCCAAAGAAGATGTCGATTAGTTGGTTGGTGGTCAGGCCTTCGAAACATTGTGATGTAAAGTTGTTCCATTCTTGGTGCGTGCGGATTGCCGCTGGACAGTCAGAGGACCACATCAGACGCTTTGATCCAAAACATTTGATCATGTGATTGAGCATTGGGGCTACTCTTGGCATCACCTCGGCCATATCCAAGTTGCGTCCAAAGTCCTTGGTGACTTCACAGTACATTCCAGACATCTTGCAGTATACATTCTTGGACTGCTTGCTCAGGATCTTGAGATCCTTGCGCCAGGCATCCAGCTGGGCATGGTCACGAGGCTTTGAAATGTGATCGAGGACCACTGTCAATTTTGGATATTGTTTGGCAAACTTGGCCAACAGGTGAACATTGTCATGGCGGACTCTAGCTTCAAAGACTATCTTCTTCTCAATCATGTACTTGATGACAGGTCTGAGAATGAGTGATGTGAGCCAGTCTTGTTGGATGCCTTCCAGCATTGGACAGAGGCCCACCAGTAGTGGCACATCATTGATGATTGACTTTTTGTAACGCTCTTGGAGGTTGGCGACGGCTTCGGCACCGCCATCAGTGATGTCACACCATCCAACTAATCCGGATATTTTTCCATTGCTCTTGGCGGCCATTGTCATTAGACGGTCTGTCTCATCTTGTGTTGGAGTCACCTGGATCAATGCCATTGTACACTGACCCATCCTTAATGATTGTTGATGTAACTCGCCCAATGTATAATCATCATATAAACTATCCAACTTCTCTTTTATCCATTCTCTCTCACTCTTTCCAATCTTCCATATCATAACATTATTGTCTAAGCATAACATCTTTCTATTTAAGTTAATAATAATAATAATTATTATTATAGGTTTGGTATTAATATATAATTGATCAATCGAACAATATTGATTGGATTGATGGATGGTGTTATGAGGGGAATGGAAAGGAAGAAAGGGGAAATGACTGTGGCTCTCTAGGCTGATCACATGAACAACCACCCTCTATTCCACTCGTTGCCCATTCAATTCAATCAATCAATCACACTTATAATGTTAATGTATTTGAGTGTGTGATGGATTGGATTGATTGATGACAAGTTAGTTGCCCTTTTGCCTCAACTTGACCACACTCTCACATATTGAAGCATCAGCTGATGTTACTTCACTTGAACCCACCCTATCACTCAGAGTAAGTAATACACTAAGTATGTAAGTTGTAATTTTTAACTTGGTTAACAACAGTGGGTGTTTGTTGGTGTTGATGTTAATGGACAACAGTATTAAGTATGATTGTTATAAGTGTGTTGCTTGGGTGAGTGGCAGGTGATGGTGAGGGTGAGTGCCTTTCAATCATTATTTATAACTCACACACTGATTGCTTGGGTGAGTGATCAACACTGTGTTAACTTGTGGATGTTGAATCTGATGACAATATGCGGATGTGTGATCAATCAATCATTACTTGCACTGCGCTGCACTCTACTCAAGGTATGTATACTTGTACTGTCTATCTCAATTGATTCGATACATTGGAGGTGGTTTGTTATCTTATAATCACATGACCTCTAAGTTTGATAATGAATAGTGTGTGTTGAATGTTGGTGGTGTTATCACCTCTACATAATGTAGAGCCATCTATCTGATCTATATCAATTACATCATCCAAGTTATAAAGTTGAAGTACGTGTACAGATCAAGAATGATTGGTGATCATGTTCAAAAGGTGGACTTCCAGGTTTTTTCCAGAAGTTGTCAAAGTTGGTCAAGGCCAAATCCAAATGGCAACTGATCATTCATTTAAACTGGATCACTAAAACATACAATGAATATATAATAATATAACGTGATGTCGAATATTAATAGTGACACAGGTATCGAAGTTGAGCCAACTCAACATCAAAGAGTTTCTCAGGTGGCTGTTGTTACTACTTTGAATGAACCAATATCAACTGTAACAGCAACAACAGCACAAACAGAAACATTGCCAATTAGCAAGAATGCACTAAAGAAGGAGATGAAGAGATTGAGAAAGGAGGAGCATCTTATCAAACATCCTAAAGGACCATCACCCAGTCCTGTCATTCAACAAGGTTCAAACTTTGGTCACCTTCCACCATCATCTCAAGGTTTGCTCGCGCCTCCATGTCCTTCAAATGACTCAAACAACAATAACAACAACAACAACAACAACAATAGCAAAAATAGTAACATAACAACAATATCAATTGCAGATATTAATGAATCATTGATTGATCAACGATTCTACATTGTTGCTAGATTACAATCTATTGGTCGTCATGGTAAGAACTTGGCACTCATCAAGTTACGCGACTTTGGAACATCAAAGACTATTCAAGGAGTCGCATCAACAATTGCATCATCACGCACAAAGACTGAGACCACTCCAACAGACACATCTTCGACTATCGAGTCAACAAGGAACTTCATTCGATTCATTGGACACCTCAACAAGGAATCGATTGTACATGTTGAGGTGACTGTGACCAGGTCTGAGAAACCGGTAGAGACATGCACGATCACAAATCTCGAGCTGGTACTCCATGCCCTGTACGTGTCGTCGGCAACTCCTCCCAATCTCCCATTGACATACGATAGTTTGGAGATCCCATCACATGTGTTCAGCAAGATCGATAGCCTAGAGTACAAGGCAAAGAACACGCCACTGAGCCAACACGAGCAGAGCATATTGGCATTGAACAAGGTCAAGGCAAAGAATGGCATTGACTTCATGCCCAGCATGAGGTACGACAATCGTGTCCTCGATCTACGCGGGCCTTCCAGCAAGCTCATATTCAAGGTACAGTCGTCGATTGGATTACTATTCCGTGATCGTCTAAACAATCGCGACTTTATCGAGATACATACTCCGCGCGTCGTCCATGCGCCACCTGACGAACATCGCGGCCCAACATTCCGCATGCAATACTTGGACGAACTACCTGCACAGCTCATTCGCACGACAATTCCCTATCGTCAGATGGTGGTGCTGGGCGACATGCACCGGGTCTACGAGGTCGGGCCTGTGTTCCGTGCTGATCAGGGCAAGACCTTTCAGCACCTCACCGAATACACGAGCATGGATGTCGAGATGGTCATTGAGCGCGACTACCACGACATACTCAATGAGGCTGATACACTGATCCGTTCGATCGTGGAAGGACTGAACCAGCGATATGCCAGCGAGGCAGAGTCATTCAAAGAGCAGTTCGAGTTTGAGCCATTGGAGTTTGGACCCAACCAGCGAACACTCGTACTCACGCTCGACGAGGCCAAGACCATACTGGTAGAGAATGGCGAGGCAGTGTATGATTATGATCTAATGGTGCATCAGAAGAGGATGTTGTACAAGTTCGTAAAGGAGCGTTATGGTGTGGACTACTTCATCTTGGACAAGTTCCCCTTGGATACATGCGCGTTCTATGTGATGGCCAATCATTCCAATTCAAAACAAGCCAACTACTTTGAGTTGATCATCAGAGGATTGGTAGTGGCCACTGGTTCACAACATATTCATGACCTTGCCACTCTGAAAGAGAGTGCACGTAAGCGTGGACTAAGGTTGGAAACAACGATTGGTCAGCACTACTTGGATTCATTCCAATATGGATCAGTGGCACATGGTGGATTCTCAATTGGATTGGAACGATTGACAATGGCATACTTGAATCTTACCAATGTACGCAGATCATCAATGTTCCCACGTGATGATCATCGACTGAAGCCTTGAAGTTCTCGAAGTTGACCGTTAGACAACACTCTCTGACTTATTCAAATTTTTGAATAAAGTGTGTTGGATGAGAACTTCTGTGAAAAAATGAATGAAAGAGTCTTGTGTGGGGGCACTTTCATTCATTCAGCTCAAGCAAGGATTACCATTCATTCTCCCAACTCCTATTACATGTACATACTTATAATTTATACATACATACACATATATATTACACATTACATATTATACACTAGATAGATAGATTGATTGAGTTGACTTTAGGATAGGGTCAATAACATTCAAATACTTAACTCTAGAGAAAGAAGACAGGTCACACATACATTGATAACTATAACTCAATCAATCAGATTAGCGATCAATCAATCAATCAATCACAATCAATCAATGCCTATTTATTCATCACCATACGATACTACTACAACGACTCATTCATTTATTCATCCATCATATCAATCACAACAACAGCAACATCATCAACAACAACAACAGCAATTCTACAATAACAACTTTGTATTCAACAACAACAACACTATGAATGAGAATAGTAATAGCAACATGATCAACATAAATAACAATAATAACAATAATAATAGCAATAACAATAGTAACATCTTCACAAATTCAACTACATCACTGTCATCGATGACAATGATGATGATGAACAATGACAATAATAACAACAACAACAATAATAATAGCAATAGTAATCTAAAGAAGAGAAAGAAAGAAGGTGAAAAGGATAGCACTATTAAACAACAGATAACACTACCAATGGTTCATAATCCATTCCAATCATCACCTACATTGCTCAACACCAAGAATGATATATCGAGCTTCATCATCTTTCAACATCAACATCTACAAAGCAATGGAACCAGTCACATCCACAACACTCTACTACAACCACAACAACTACATCATAATACACTACTATCATCTAAACAACAACATGAACAACAACATCAACAACAACAACAACAACAACAAAACAATCAATCAGGATCAGAATCAACAACAACAACATCATATCAAAGTAACAAAAGACATCAATTTCAAAACAAAGAAGGCTCAGTCAAGTATCAGTCCATTCAACCTGTTGAACCAAAGGAGATACGCTACAGTGAACAGATAAGACTGTCGCTGAAGGCACCCGAGTGGAGAACACAGCTGATGCCAGAGTTTGACAAGCCTTACATGCGATCGCTGCTGGACTTTCTCGACACCGAGAAGGAGACGGGCATCATGCTGTGCCCTCCCGTCGACAACATATTCAATGCGTTTAACCTGACCGACTTTGGCGATGTCAAGGTCGTCATACTCGGCCAGGACCCACCACACGGCACCTACCAAGCGAACGGCCTCTCATTCTCGGTGGGTCCCGGACCGATCACCGCGGCACTCACCAACATCTTCACGGAGCTCCAGAGCGACCTGGGCGTCTGCAAGAAGGTGTCCCACGGCGGCCTCGAGCAATGGGCTCGCCAGGGCGTCCTCCTGTTGAACACCTGTCTGACGGTGCGCAAGGGTGTGCCAGAGTCACACAGCAACAAGGGTTGGGAGCAGTTCACCGACGTTGTCATCAGCACGCTCAGTCGTGTCCGCACTGGAATCATCTTTTTGCTCTGGGGCAAGCAGGCTCAACAAAAGGCGTCACTGATTGACGGTGAACGACACACTATTCTCACGGCTTCGCATCCTTCACAGTTCTCTGCGGCCAAAGGATTCTTTGGATGCAAACACTTTAGCAAGTCAAACAATATATTAGTTCAATCTAAACAGATACCAATAGATTGGGATCTTGATATCATCAATAGTAACAATAACAACAACAACAACTCGATTACAACAGCAACAACAACATCAACGACATTGGACAATCATAACGTTCAATCAAAGAACAGACAACATACTTCTACCTCTTCATCATCATCTGCGACATTGACAAATTAGATTATAATTGATTGATTGATTGAAAGGTAACATTCAATAAATCAATTCAGAATAACAACAACAATGATGATGATCATCATCATTGTGTATCCCTTTGGTTATCAAACATCATCAGATGTGATGGATTCAATCACATAACCCGATATAGGATCATTGTGGTGCGTGTGTGTCGGACACACCCCACAATAACAATCGCCCACAACATAATTATTATCTCAATCTGCAAGGTTTGCAAGCTGTTACCATATGAGGCTGGGCAATCGTCTGCAGTTGATCCAAAAATAGTGAAAAATAATTGGTAAAAGGATCAACCCCCACTGGGCATTTTCCGCTTTCCCCATTATCCCCAGGGGAAATCACAATTTCGTGTTGTTTTGTACTTTTTGACATGTGGTGTCAAACAAACAACAAGTTCAATTCCATTCACTCACTCCATTTCATTCATTTATTCACTCAACACATAAACAACACTCAATTGTAATACATCTAAATCAAATTATAACAACAAACTTATATTATCTATATACCTATATCTATCTGTATCTGTGTATTTGTCAGTATAGGTGTTACTCAAAGATATAAGAGTGGCTTCCTTTAACAAACTCAACTATTTGTGCTCTTCGCTCACACTTCCAGAGTGCTACGATTAGAGTAATCTTTATATTTATCAATCAACCAATATTTAAACAACAATACAATGAAGAGCGAAGTAGCTGCCAATATCTTCGGAATTCTTGGTGCCATAATATGGTCAGTCCAACTTATTCCACAAAGTATGTATAATAATCAAGATTTATTGATATCAGGACTAACCTATATCTGAAAATAGTTAGACTCAACTATAGATTGAAGAGTGCAAAGAATCAATCACAATTATGTTTCCTATCTTGGTACATTTGTGGAGTTATCATGGGTACTTACCTAATCTATGAGAAGGAGACTGTTGCCCTCATTATCCAAATGTGCCTATTCACATTCTTTTGCTTTGTTATATTCTTCCAGATCAGACATTATGAAAGGTATGTATATCTCCCTTCCTGTCTGGATTAATTCCACTGTCACATACTAACTAACTAACTAACTATTGGAAATGAATTGATCAGTAACTCAAAGAAGAAGACATTCTTGACAACATTTTCAATGATTGCCGGATGCGCCATGATATCATTTGTTGTGGCCGGATTCATATATTTGGCATTCGTGGACATTAATGGAGCATTGGGAATGGAGATCTTTGTTTCTGTTCTGGCCACTTTGTTCATGGCAGCAGGATTCTTCCCACAACTCTTGGTGGTCTATCGTTCAAAGTCACCACAAGGTCTTAGCAAGCTATTCATTGTAATGGATATGTTTGGAGGTATCTTTGCAATTATCAGTCTATGTTTCCGAGAGCCATTCGAATACCTTGCCTTCATGACATACGTTGTGGTGCCAATCTTCCAGGCGATTCAATTGGCTCTGGTACTATACTATGAGAGCAAACAACCAAAGTACAAGAACTGTGAGGAGGAAGGATCTTTGGAGATGGGACAACGTGGATTGGATGAGAAGGCAGACATTTCAGCACCGGGCGATCAATCTTCAGGATCCGCCTTTCTCCAGAATGACGTTGGACTCGATTCGGCCGAGGGAGGAGATAGTCTTGCGACCAATCCATTCCTCAATCCAGCACTCTACAAACCATTATCATCTTCTGATGAGGCAATCGATGATCCTTCCGACCCAACAGCAGTCCCCAATCTTATTCGATCATCTTATATTCTCTCTCACAATATGCCAATGGAACAAGAGTTTGATCATATTGTGCCCAGTTCAGAGACTGACCTCGAGCAATCATACAAGAAACAGGCAATAGTACTCAATCAAACCTCGGCATTGTTTGAGTGTCCTCAAGAGATAGCTCGTTAACGATGAGCGCGTGGATTTAAAGGAGAGGAGCGCGCCACTTCTCAAGAAGGGTGACAGTACTTTAATTGAATGGAAGTGCGCGCTCAACATCCTCTTACCCTCCTGCCTTACAAGTTAAGTCAGCAAACTATCAAATCAATCATTTCTAATAATAATCAAATAACATACATATAAACAACCAAAAGAGATATATTTAAAGTCATGTCAAGAGTCTAATAATGGACCATCGTTGTTCTTTCACACACTAGGTCTTGACAATCAATAATTGTAGTGTGATGGGTCATCCATAGTCGGGTCAGTGTCTCTCGGTCACTGATCAAACAATTGATATACAAGAGTATTTGGGGAGGCGTGTGGATTGGTTATTCCATTAATGGTGTTTTAGTTGGAGCTTGTATGTGATTGATTGGAGGGGTTTGCGGTGAATGTGGTAAGTCTTAAGTGTGGTTGTTGAGATGATTGATTGAACGATTGGATTGGGTGAATGGGGGTGAATGGGGGCGAGTGCCCTTTATGGGTGAGATTAAACTTGTAGGTCCAATCAAGATGGATGTTGATGATCACAACAATATTGATGTTATTAATAAACAGTCTATATTTGAAAAGGCCACCACATTTATGTATGATGAATCAACATTGATTGATTGATTGATTGATGGATTGATTCATCCTTTAGTGGGGTGAATGAACGAAGGAATTGACAACATCTCTCCGAGCAAGAGATAGGCCATCTCGAGAAGAGGCGGCGTTTGATTGATTATTAAGATTACTTGCTCAATACGTTGTTGTTTGTTGTTGTTGTTGTCGTTGTGCTCTCACACACATTCACTCTGATCTTATGAGTGTGTGAGTGTCTCTTTGTGATATATAAATATAAATGTATAATGATGTGTGATTTAGATGTGATGTGATGTGAATGTAATGTGATGTGTGACTTGTCATTGTGGACCTTTCACCTAAGCCCACCAATGTTGACAGCTTCCTATTGGACGGCTGGGCGGCGCGCAACCCCGAATCCAACTCTATTCCCAAGTGGAAAGGCATCTCCCCAGTCTCCATTCATTCTACATCTTACCTACATAAGACTAAAGATACATACTACAGATAATAATAAATATATATTACAAATCGAAGATTACAATACAAGCCTAGACTTTTGAAACTTATCAACTTAAAGTTATTCCTCTCAATCTTTCAAATAATATAGTTTGACTGATCAAGTTATCCAACATCTTAAATTACCTTCAACTTCAACTTTATCAAACAATCTTGATTGCCCGGGACACACTGATCAAAGACTCCCATCAAACTTTCAAATTAAATATCCAACGATCTTCTAAATCAGGATGTTGAGATTCTTGAAACGACAATCTTCAACCAAACAGTTGAAACAGTCTCAAAATGGAGCCACGACCGGACAACAGACACATGGAGAGGACCTGGTGGAGGACCACCACCACAACAACCACCTCCAACATCGTAGTATGCCTACCATCAACAACAACAACAACAACAACTACAATGTCTCCTCTTCTTCATCAAATACATCTTCCTCATCTTCATCAACATCAACATCATCTACCAACTTTAAACAGTTCACACATTCAAAGTCATCATTGGACCTGTCAATATGCTCGACCAGCTCAACATCAACATTCACTTCAAGGTCAAGACCATTGTCTTCTCGATCAAGTACACATAGTCAATTGAAAAATAATACCTTTAATAGCAATAGCCATCGTGGTGGCGCACCAACATTGTTACTTCCAACCAACTCAATATCAACTCCAAGAACAACAGGTGGCGTCAAGCAACAAACTACATTCATGATGTCAACTCAACATCCTACTGTCTGTGATGACAACAACAATCAAGTTGGACCATCATCACCACCTCCCAGTGTAATCGAGTTGATGTCACCAGATAAGAGGAGATCGCTCAACTCACCACCTTTGGTATCATCTCCACCTCAGACTCAGACTCAGCCCCAGCCTCAAATACAACAACAATCACAACATCAATCACCATCATCAAAGAGTCGAGTCGATACCAAATCAATATCTGTAATCACCATCAATGTAATCTACTTTAACAGCAAGCTCAATGGACACTCATCACTCAATGTAACCAGCAGCACTTCAACGTCCACAACCTCTACCGCTCAAGACTCTCCACTGACCTCACCAAAGAAAGCGAGCAAGTCAACAATCTTTAGTGGCGCTCACCTTTCATTGCCACTGTCCAACTACTCGTCCAAGCTTGGAAGGTCCAAGTCATCTCCACCTGTGGCGGCCGCAAACTTTGGATCATCAAACAAGTCGCAGTCACCGAGTCTGCGGGTTGCCTCTCCACCCAGTCACGCCAAGCCACACCAAAAGAACATGAAGATTTCGCCATCGACGACGTTGGCTGAGCTGCTCAACATGTTGATTCCAAACCTGATACACTATGATAACCTTCCAAAGGCAATCTACGCCAACGAGGAATGGGAGCTGACAAACAAAAAGCCAGGCGAGGAGAGACAGTGCTATGCACTGTTCCGCAACTCGTCTGTGCCTCTACTGCACAAGGACAAACCACTGAGGGAGCTTGGTGTAAAGGATGGAGACACCCTGGATCTCAAGACTGTTTACCTGGAGAGCGTCCATGTCAAGGTACACATCCCCAAGTTCTATCAGAGTGAGTTGCCAGCTGAGGCCGTCGTCAAGTTGACGCCATTCTCTTCAGTGCGCTCAATCATTCACAAGCTACACAAGAAGTTCAATCATACCATCGACCTGACGCAGTACGGTCTTTTCCTAGAGAATGGCGAGAAGCCAGAGCAACAGCAGATGTTGGAAGAGGATGAGCTGTTCTCAACATATGGCATCACGGCGCAATCCAAGTTGGTCTTCCGCACTCTGGCCATTGCCGACATCATGTCAATGCAGTATGGATCGGTTACACTCCATGTGTTTGTAACAGCATCATACTCCCGATATACATGTATTCAGTTGATGTTTGAGCCCAACACTCTAATATCCGTTGCACTCAAGATAGCCTGTCAGCGGGCAGGCATATCTTCAGAGCGCTCCAAAAAGTGTGGACTCTTCCTTGGACTCAACGATGACGATGCCGATGGTGTCTGGATGTCCGAGAACCTAACTCTGAATGATTATCACGTTGGATTCAATGTAAGTCATTTGAGGCAGTATCTGTCCAGTCTTGTACTAACAAACAAGTTGTCCTCAATCACAGAACAAGTTGGAACTAAGACAAAGATATAGGACATATCAAGTATCTGTCAAGTCACCAAGAGATACTAAACTTAGTATGCACTTTGATCAGAATGCTACAGTGTCAACTCTGTTTGAATGTATTATCAACAATGAAGGAGTTTCAAACGCCAACTCTTACTCATTGCTATCAAAGGACACTGGACTTGCATTGGAGATGAGCAGGAACCTTTGGTCATACAATAATTGCACAGAGCTGGAGTTCAGAGAGAATCCCGAGAGGTTGTTTATTTTCAGCAGCAATGATAGTGATAGCCATCATATTCCCAAGATGATTTACATTGACTTCAACGCTCCCCTGGACGTTGAGTTCCCCAAGTCACTCGCACTGGACAGTGATCTGTCGCCCAACTCATATACGTTAAAGAGAATGAATGATGGTGACTCCAAGCTGGATATGAGGCAGTCCCTCAGACAACTTGGAGTCCAACCAGGCTCACGCATCTTCTTGGCGATCAGTCCTCCAGTCGTCCAGACCAAGGCTGAGCCACAATCCACAAGTGAGCAGGCATCCAACCTCAATCAAGTGTCATTCACTGTTGCCACGAGTCCACCAACAACCTCTAGTGTTGCAATGATCGATTATCCCTCATCAATCAAGACGCCAGAGAGTATATGGGACGAGCCGACAGCCATCGACCACAATAATCACTGCACCAACAACGATGAGGACGATGTTGAGGACATTGTCACAACTCTTGACGCCATGTCGTTAAACAAGTTGGTGATCCGTCTGACCTCAGAGAGTTCACATGACCTAATGTTCATGAGGGCAATGTTGATCACTCATCCTTCATTCACAGTCACCCGAGACCTGTTGGAGAAGTTACTTGAGAGATTCCGCGTGCCCAGTGAAGTGCCACAAAAGGAGAGAATGGCCATCCAACTACGCGTTGCCAATGTGATCAAGTATTGGGTGGAGCATCACTCTGAGGACTTTGACGCCAACGATGCCAAGCTGCTCGTGGACTTTGTTGACAGCGAGCTCAAACTAGTGTTCCCTCAACTGGGTACAATGATCCATGGTTGTGTCGAGCGTTCATGTGGCTTCAACTCCACCGAGTTGGTCAGGACCAAGAGTGATGGACAGACCACTGACACACCAAGGAAGCGCCCTACTCTTCAGATCACACTCTCCGATGAGTTCCCGGCAAATGGATCATGGAGACGATACCCCAAGGACTCACCTACCGGCGCCCCACTCTCCCTGTCTGCCAAGGACGAGCATGAGTACTACATCAAAGGTGTGACCAGCCCTTCTTCCATTTTTGACTTTGAAGATGATGAGATTGCCAAGCAACTCACCGTGTTTGATCATCTCTGCTACTGTGCCATCCGCCAGAAGGAGTTCTTGAACCAGGCCTGGAACAAACAACATGCTACCAAGCACTCGCCCACCATCCTCAAGATGATCAACCGATTCAATGAGCTGAGCCTATGGGTGGTGAAGCTTATCTTGGAGCCAGACCGTCTAAAGACACGCGCCAAACGTATTGAGCGAATAATCAAGATTGCTGAGAAGTTGCGCCAACACAACAACTTCAACTCTTTGATGTCCTTGTTGGCGGGTCTCAACAACTCTGCCGTCCTACGTCTGAAGCACTCTCGCTCGATGGTCTCAAAGAAGTACCTTGAGAGTCTCGAGTCGATGGAGCGTGAGATGAGTTGCGAGTCATCCTACAAGAGTTACCGCGAGGTACTCCGTACCACTGTTCCACCCTGTGTACCATACATTGGCGTTTACCTGACCGATCTTACATTCATCCACGAGGGTAATCCCAACGTCGTTGGTAACAACAACCTCATCAATGTATCCAAGTACATCCTCATCTACAAAGTGATCTCTGAGGTTCAACAATACCAATGGACGACATACCACTTCAACTATGTTCCAATCATTCAAACCTTTATCAAAGACCTGCACACGCCAACCATGCAAGAGCTCTACGACCTGTCACTCCAAAAGGAGCCCAAGTGTGCGCTAAAGTCTGACTTGCTCTGAGTCCAATCCAGTCTAATCTAGTCGAGTCCAGATCCATTACTTGTTGCTTCCGCAATAAATATATTTATCTTTGTACATAAAATAGTGTCGCGACCGACTTTTGATGTGTAGCTGTTGTTGCCACCAACCATTCGTCTTGTCTACGAGTCAGACTCTTCAATCGACCAGCTTGTCTTCTTAATGATAACCTCAGTCTTGACTAACAGTTGATCGTCCTTGATGAATCCGTTGTTCTCAAGTATCGATGTGCGTATTGCCTTGCGATCGCCCCAGCCTTGGCCACCCTTGATCGGGAACGTCGTCCTAAAGTCCTTCTTGACCGACTGGCTTGGATCGCGTTGATTGAAGAACTTTAGATAGTACTCCAGTGTGAGACTCTTGCCCTTGGGCACCTGATTGGTGTCCAGGAACAGGTAGATACTGATGTATCCCTTGCTATCGATACTGTCGCCATCAGTGTAGAATCCAATGAACCATTGAAATCCACCAATTGAGAACTTCTCCGATTGAATATATCCCTTCTTCTTCAATAGACTATAGTTCTTTACACACCATTCCACCTTTGTGTTTGTGTCAACTACAATGGATTGATTGAGTTAGTTTGATTGATTGAACGATTGAGTGAGATGGACATACTCTTCTCATTAACAGTGCGTTCCAATTGCTTTATCTTGTCATCCTTGGATTGGATCAATGTGGAAAACTCCTTCTTCATGGTGGAGATGGTATCGGTGTAATGTGTCTTCATCATTAGCAAGTGCTCAGCCAGTGATTCATCTATATGTGTCTGTAGGTATTTCCTATCAAACTGTTGTTATAGACAACAAGTGATCGAGTGAGTGGATGTACATGTCTTGTCAATGTCATTGATACACATACAGTCTTTGTACATCCTGATTCAAAGAATGGACATTGAATATGATAGTTCGGACATATGTTTAGTTTGTGCTTCTCAAACTCCTTCTTGACGAGCTTGGTGCTACACTTGTCGCATTCAATCTCCACCATGTCACATTCTACCAAATGGTTCTGAAAGTATGTACATATATGTGTCAGTTGGTATCTACCATTGGGTGATGGTTTGGTAAGTTACTTACGTCGATACCTGTATATGTTGAATCACCGCCACAGTGCATGCACTTTACCGGTCGATGTAGACACACTTCCAGATGTGCGTCCATAAGTCTCCTTCGAATAAGTCCACACTCTTTATTGTAGCGACAGTATTCGAAACTGTGCTCACATGTGATCTCATGCTTTGTAGAGTTCTCCAAGGTGAGTATCTCATTGCAACCATCCTCATCCACGACCCATCCCGCTCCCTTCTGGAACTTGAAGTGGAATTTACAATATACCTTGATTGATTGATTGAGTAAGTGAGTATGTCGTTCAGTATCATGCGTGAAGTATGACAACATACACTAAGTGTTCTAAGATGACGCTCAACAAAGAGTGATCGCGAGAGTTTCTCCATGTTTAGTGAGCAGCGACACTCGGGACACTCTTGAGACTTCTTCAGGGACATTAGAATACATTCCATACAGAATAGATGACCATTCTTGCACTGTCTAGGCTTGTTTATAATCTGTAGACATATACCACATTGTAACTCCTTTGTCAACTCTTGATCAACGATTACCACCTCTATTGGTACAGTGTTCTCATCAACTGCCACAGCTGCTGCTGCATTATTATGTTGTTGTTGTTGTTGTTGCAGTAGTTGTTGCTGTGAGCTATTGGAAGAAATAGAGTGCATCATCTTTTAGTCTAATCCTTGTTGTTTGGACTTTCCTTCTTATTAAGGAGGATGTCTATTCAAAGCAGTCAATGTTTGATTGATTGGTTGATGTTGATTGGATTGTTTGAATTTCAATGTTTGTTGGTATGTATGATTGATATTAGTATAAGTAGTAGTAGTAGTAGTAGTAGTAGTAGTTGTAGTTGTAGAGAGGTAGAGTGAGATTGAGATGAATGAGCTCACTCAAGGTTGGATGACACTGTGAGTGACTGGATGTATTTGTGTGGGTTGTGTTTGTTTGGGAAGGGGTGAGCTGACATCAACCACCTCTCTATCTCATTCTTGACCAACTTGGTCCAACAACATACCCTCACACACATACCCTCACAATAATTATCTCATCATTGCGACTTACTTACTTACCTACAAGATAAGTAAGTATCTATCAATCAAATGGCTGTAGAGATAACAGATGACAGTCTTAGGTTGATGCAAGAATGGGCAGATAAGAACAATGAGTTATTGTCAGCAGAGATCAATACAAAGCTACAAGTATGTGTCATAGACATTGAGTGAGCCCAGCAAGTAGATGATAAAGTGTATTGGGATGTTGTTCACTTATGCATCCAATCAATCGATCATTGTTATAGATACAGGTCATTCTAGGATTGACAGTTGTATTGGTAACATTACTTGCGATGACATGTCTGGTATGGTTCCTGAATAAGAAGACTATATCGGAATACTATAGAACTAAACAACAGAGTACTTTATCATTGTTTGCAACTGGTATGTGTTTGACTGATCATCAGTCATGTCAGTCATTTTTGGTTGATCATTCGATCGATTAATTGATTGAAGTTATATGAATAACATGCTAATAACAATACAGAGATAAATCAAGTTGATACACCATTCACTCCAATAACTAAAGAGATTGAGCAGAAGATACGAAAGTGATAGATATACTTGATTACATAGAAAATAGATAGGTTGATGAGGTGATCGATCACTCATCCAATAAACAGCGCACCTAGTAGCCGTAACACGCTACTACATTATGTACAATAAGAATAGATCTCATTATGATGATGATGATGACTTGGACCTAGATGATGATGATGATGAACTACAAGAACATGACGAGACTATAGTTGTTCGATCATCAACTTCAAAGACAAACAACAACAAACGAACACGTAGAGGAAAGAGAAAGAGAAGACATGGAAAGACAGTGACGCCAATGCCAATCGATATTGTAAAGGATGGTCCACCACCTGTCTCACATGATGCTCATCCCCTGACCCTGCCACTGGCCCTGCCAATGGCACCACCACCTGTCAACAATGAGATCAGCTTCCATCGAACACATATGCTCTACTCGCGAGCACCTGTTGCACAGTACTCAATTCCAAAGTGTACGTACTCATCCTCGTCCAAGCCTGACCGACTCATGACTGACTGACTCTGAATCTATGATTAGATGGATCATACACTGTTGATCATGACGTTGATCTATTGTTGTGGAATGTATTCTGCAAACCGATCACTTGTTCATTCAATGTCAACTCAATGGATCATCCCAATAATGATACATATACAGCTTTGACATCAATGAGTGACAGGGTGATGGCCACCAGGAAGATGTTTGTTGGCGTGTTCAAGAAGCTCAAATGGTTCCCTTACGATGCCATACTTCTCAAGTTTGTAGCCGAGTCACAGGGCAAGCAACATAACAACTTCCTCACAAACATAGAGGTTAACGCCTCACAGCTCAACATAGAGACATTGATTGGTACCAACATCGAAGTACACTATGTCTATCGCTTCGTCCTGACCGTCATCAACAATTTATTCCCTTCAATCAAACTCTGGGGATCACATTCAAACAAGAGCATCTTTGCCAACTGTTAGTATTTCCATCCCAATCCGGATCCAGACTCGTCGAATCACTCACTCAATCATTCAATCATTCTCCAGGTTTACTCGAATATTTGATCACAAAGAAGTACAAGATATACCTCGATCACTTTGTGTCCATGTTCAATGTATGTCGAGTGTCCATGTCATGTCCATGGTCATTGCTAACCCTTCCCATCATCATTATCATCAGTGTGATCAGTTCATCATTGGCAAACTCAAGTATCTCAGACAGTTCTTATGGTGGATGTTTGAAGACTTGGTACCAAGTATCATATCCAATCACTTTTATTGTACCAATACTGCCAGTTCCAAACACTACATCTATTACATCAAATCTGATTGGATACGTATGGCCAGAGTCCAACTACTAGCACTCAAGCGTTCCAACTATCGATCAATTACATTCAGGGTATGATGTCACTCTCACTCCATCAATCAATCAATCACAGACTCACTCATTCATTCAAATAATATTAGGATCATAATATATTTGGAAACAGACGATCTGGATTATCATTCCTGCGATTCCTTCCCAAGGAGAAGTCACTTCGTCCGATCGTGAACATTGGATATCCAAATACCAAGTTGTCATTGATATCGGATGAAGGATCATCGATTATTGAGTACAACTTCCAAGAGTCTGGTAACTCTTTGGCGTCAAGGGGCGTCCTTCCAGTACTACGTTATGAGATTGTTAGGAACCCATCTTTGATTGGATGCACAGTTGGCAGTAGACTACACATATACGAGCTGTTCAAAAATGTCAAGCCCATCCTACGTACACTCAAATCAATCTACATGATCACATTGGACATTAACAAGTGTTTCGATTCATTGAACCAGGAGAAGTTAATGTCAATCATCTGTGACAAAGTAATCACTCATGTATGTATCATCACTATATGATTGATGGATTGAATGACCATTCTAAAAAAAACAAACAAACAGAAGGATTACTTGGTCACCAATATGAAGACCAAGTCCAAGCTTGGCCACTTTGAGACACATACTGTGGCCACATCAGCAGATGACTTGGGCCACTTCATTGAAGAGAAGACTCGCTTGGAGAATAGGCAATCATTCAAAGAGTTCCTATCTGTAAGTCCAAGGGAAGACCAAATTGAACTTGGACATCCAACTTACCAAATCAATCAATCGCACTCATACTCATTCCAGCAAACTGTACCAAACTCAGTGGACAGAACACATGTATTGGAGGTACTGCAGGAGTTGATATTCGAACATGCTGTAAAGTACAATGATGACACATTCATACAGAAGAAGGGTATACCTCAGGGATCAGTCTGCTCCACAACATTATGTTGTCTATACCTTGGCGATTTGGACAATAGACTATTGAAGCCAAGTCTACTCAAGAATGATCCAGGTGCCTATAACATGATCGCCAGGTTTGTCGATGACTACTTCTACATCACAGACTCCAAGAAGAATGCTGATCGATTCATGGACATATTCTCCAATGACACAGACCTCGAGTATGGTGTCAAGTGCAACATTCAAAAGACACTCAACTTCCCAGATAACACACAATCACTTATCATGTTTGATGATGGTACGTAAGCATACTTCGTTATTGTCAATTGGCCTGCCTTTATTGACCATCTACTCAATAGAATACTATATTCCTTGGTGTGGACTCCTGATTGGAACCAAACACTTTGAGATACTTCAAGATTATTCAAAGTTAACTGGAAGGAGTAAGTGTAAATGTATCAACATCACTCAAACAACTAACATGATATTATTCATTAGGACTTGAGGATTCGTTGATATTCAATTCCAACAACAACTCAACACAAACATGGGAAAACACTCTATCACAGTTATTGACCAAGATAATCAATCAGAAGTTGTATGTTATACTGATCACCTTTTTGATGGATTGTCAACTTACTCATATATCAATCACAAAAGGGATATACTACTCATTGATCCAATGTTGAACTCACTCAAGACAGTCTATCTAAACATCTACAGAACATTCTTATTCGTTGGAATCGTTTTCCATTGTTGGAACAAAGAGTTCTCAAACACAATTAATCAATCCGCGAATGAGATATCAATAGCCCAAAAAAGTAGGTCACAGGATCAATCAACCAATCAGATCAACCAAACTAACATATTCATTTGTCATGGAAAGGTATTGTTTTAAATCTGTCATTTATCACTCGCAAGCTATTCTTGAGGAAGATTGGACGATCTGATTTGATACCTTTGGTGGAGTTCAGTTGGATGTCAATGAGTGCATTTAGACATGTGCTGTTGAGGAAACAATCAAGGTACAGGTGTCTACTTGCAAGACTATCATTCACGCTTTCCTTCCAACAAAAGTATAGGAACATCCAACCAAAGTTACAGTACCTTCTTAATATCAATGCATATGACATTTTGAATATTATCTACTAATAATAATATTACAACATTGTTGGTTCCTTGGTGTTCTTCTTCAATGGACCCTTGTAAGTTGGTTGTCAATGGTGGAGTTGGCAGAAAGGCTGCACCAAGGACCAAAGAATAAAAAGTGAGTTTTTGAGTTTGAATATTGGGTATCATTTATTGGAACATTGTGGGACAATTAAATTGGCTCGTCAGTTAATTTTTTTTTTTTTTTCACTTCGACCAGGCTGATTATATATAATGTATGTATGGTTTATTTCGGATCTTCCAAATGATGTGTGTGAGTGAGCTGCGCGAGCGAGTGATCAAAAAGCTGCCGCCAGACAGCCTCCAATCTAGTTTATTTCATTTGGACTACCACCATATAAATATATAACTCGTTTACTTTAATAATGTCAAGATCAAGATCAAGAAACAAGAAGGATGGGGGGGATGTACAGAAGGAGAATGAACAGAAGGATGTACAGAAGGATGAACAGAAGGATGTACAAGAGGATGACGTTAACACCAAGTTCGAGAGGTTGTTTGGAATGTTGGGTGATATGCAACAGAGGATGAGAGCCTTCGAGAAGAGAGAAGGCAAGAAACCTGCGAGATCAAGTGAAGAGGATGAAGGTAGCA